CACAACTGTTCATGTTTAAGAAAACATTACTTTGTGAGGTGGGCCTCTTTCTCCCACCCCAATCATATAAATCTCAAGAGGGAGGTTTCGACTTGGGATCCACCACTTCTACCTGGCTAGTGTGGCTGGGGCATTTCCTCCTTCCAATACCCTCCCACCTTGCCTTGGCGAGAGAGTCTAGTGGGTAGAATTCTTAAATCTGATGGTTCCTCCTGTCTTCTCTCCTTTGGGGGAAAGTTCAGTGCTGGTTGCGCGATTCCCTTTAAGGAATGTCCCTGGTTGACTCAGGCAAGAACCAGACTTGCTAGGAGTCAATAGGCACACTTGTGCCTTCCCCTGACATCATCTCCAAGCGCCTAAATGCCATACATGGCAACCAGGGCAGGTGGAGTCCCAGAGTCACCCTGGGAAAATTATAGGGGAGCTGTGTGGCCAGGTAAGCTGTATGTGGCCAGCCTGTGGAAAGCCCATCTCTCCTGTAACCTTTCTGCAGGCTCAGATATGCAGAAGTAACTGTGGTAATAAGGGGGCCCTTTCACAGCCGTGTAAGCACTTGCCCACCACAGGGTGGTGTGGTAAGGCTGAGTGAGTTAGTGATGGTAACGTGCTTCGAGGATGAAAGTGCAAGGTAGCAGTAGTATTATAGTAGTGTTACCTGGTGATTGACTCAGACCCTTAGCAACAACATTAAGTTGAGCTCCATTAATTTTCTAAAAATCAGATGTTAATTCAGATGCAGAGCTGCCAGATAACACGAACTAAAGAGTGAAACCTGCGGGAAAGATCAGCCTCATTAAGCAATCCTTCAAAATCACTGGGCTCAATTACCTCCATGAGTTGCATCAGCAGAACCCAAGCTTTGCACTCCTGGCAACAGAAAGTCCACTCAGATGTAACAGCAAAGGCTTCCAATCTGTAACCTCTTCTCCTCTGGTAGGGGCCCAGAATTAGCTCACATAGTTCCTGAATTGGCAGGGTGTCTACCAGCGATTCAGCACATCTCCTGGACAGCTGCCATCTGCTGGGTTACTACAGAATCCCAGATGGAATTTAAAGCCTGAGCATCCCATTGGGTGAAACGTCTTCCCTCACCCTCTGTTGCAGCTGCCTCTAAAGGGGATGTGGGTAGGTGCTGCAATTTGCAATTATGGGAGTGAATCTGGCCCATTTAAGTACACTTCTCCTCCACCTTTGTTAGCAGGCCTTCTTCTTTAAGCAACTGATATTTGCTGGTCCCTTGAAATCTCACTTAAAGCAGTTTCACTGTAATCATTTGAAACATGGAGTTCAACATTTTTTTTAAAAAATCTATTTTTTTCTATAATAGCTTATTTATTAGATTTGAAACTCTGTGGTTTGAATTTACAAGGAGGATATATTTCCCCACAAATTAAGCAGTACCTGTATTAGCTTAAGCATCATTCCACTGCAAAGGCTCAGAAAAAAGTTGTCAAGCAAACATTTTATTGTCTGACCACATCTCTCTAATGGGCAGTTTCAGATATTTTAAAACAAGGTTTGATATGGCACGATAGGAAACGATCCAAGTTCATGCATAAAATACAACATTAAATACCACAGTCACTAATTTTAATGCTTCCTGAATTGATCAAAATATTCGTAAGAGGTACACTAACAGCTCAGTTTACTTCTCTATCCTTTGTTTTTCTGTTATTCTTGGAGAAAAGTGTTCTTTTGGAGAGAAGTATGCAGGAGCACTGGGACTGCCAAAAGTTACTCTTTCAAGCTACAGAGACATCATATTTGCCACATCAGATCAAAGCATCTAATCTTAAGCAATATCCAGAATTCAGTGCTTCAATGGAAGACAAACACCCCCCTCCTCAAATATACACCTTGTCAAGTGTACTGCGCTATATACAGCAGTAGGAACTGATTCTTCCCAGAACTTCAACTGATGCCCTGAACCATGAGATTTGATTACGGTCACTGTTATTTTAAGTTGCATAGCTAAGATGGTTACTGATGATGATGCAGTTATCCAGCCCTTTTAAAAATCCTGCCACAGTGCATCTTAAAGAATTAAACTTCAGTTATTTGTTATTTACCAACTCCATATTTTATACTACTGTAACACAATTACTTTTGATGGCAGGTTTTTCTAAATGTAGCCGTACATTAAATGAGTAAGGAATGAGAGACGATTAAGTGATTTTGTGTACAATAATAGTATGTTTGATTATGTCAACTATCATTACCCTACGATACACAAAGCCTCTTCTGGGGGAATAAAACCGAACAATTTACCATATCATTACAGCTTACTCTTTATGTTGATGAATACTGTATTTAACAGGCTTATCAGACATCTGTCATCATACAATTTCAGAAGTTTATCAACCAGCTTCACATTTAAATAATCTCCCTAAATTTGAGAGGGAATAAAGCATGGTCATTAACAAAATAAATATGGACAGAATAAAAAGTTAGGGACAATTTAAAAAAAAAAAAAAAACAACCAATCAAATGGGCCCAATCCACCTTGCTGGATAAAACCCATTGGGTTAGACGGTTCATACCCAACTCATGTGTGTGAGAAGTCACACCCCTGCAGTTCACCCTTAACTCCAGTGGGCACAGGATCAGACCTTCAGTGATCATCAGTGTAAGGGTAGCACAAGGCCTAAGATGGATGATGTTATCAAGGTCCAGACTGCATACCCTGCTTAGATCACACTTTCCCTATTGTATACTTAAACACAGGGGCATGATCCAAAAGTATTCAAAGTCAATAGGAGTTTTCCCATTGACCTCCGTTTTCTTTGCAACAGGCCTCAAAGTGAGAAATATGAGAATACCTATGTGCCATAAATATTTGCTTCCCATATCAACTAAATTCACATTAACTACTTTTCCTTGAAATAAAAATCTCATTGAAGGTTTGCTTTTAGGGATTTTTGTTTTTAAATCTAACAAGTAATAATATTTAAAATGAACCCACATATAGCACAAAACACAAGATAAAACTATATCCATTATATATGCTACAATAACATGTTTCCCAGAGTTAAATATTTTGGCCAACATTCACCACTAAGAAAGATAATGAAATGTAAGATGTTTAAGTATTTCAGTTACTACTCTAAATAAAAACAAAACGGATACTGTTTCACCTATTGTACTTCTGGGGTGGAGAGAATGAAATAGTTTAAGATTTCTGCCTGTTCTGAGGCACACATCATAGAGTATGCACAGCAAAACATAGAGATGTTTTTAGTGTTATATACACTCCCAAACAAGATTTATCCACAGCCTGGGAATTTGCAAAACTGCAGTCAACACTGAAACAGGGTATTTAAAACAAAAGACAAACAAACAAACCAACCACATCAATACTTTACAAACAAGATGACCCACTCATTAGTAAGGAACAAATGAAGAAAATAATCAAAGCTCAGTACATCCCACCAACAATCTGAGAATGAAGAAATTGTATCTCTGGTGAAAGAAAGACAGACAGACAGACCTAAATAGTAATACACCCAGAGCCTAACCTGTTTAAAGACTTATTTATTCCCATTGGAGATTTTATCACAGAGATATCAGCATGTAATGCCAATGGAAAGTGACTTCTTGGTGAGTATCTGAAATATACTGTTCTAACCCAAAGGTTGATTTGTTTTGGGGTTTTTTTAAAACATCAGATGTACAGCATATACAAGACTCTCCTACTCCTGTCTGCATTTTCACTTTTATCCCAATCACTGCCACTGTAGTTCAGTTAAAAATATAAACTAAGCAAAAGGCTGAGCTGGCAAGCTACGGGCCTGATCCAAAACCCACTGAAGGCCACAGAAATGTTCCCACTGACTTCAGTGGGTTTTGGATCAGGCCATATGAGCCAGGTTTTCTTTTTTCGAACGGTGTATACGTGTAGAGATTAAACTGGCACATATTTAAAACAGGACAGAACACTCCTAAACCAGACTGTGTAATCGACTGCCTCCACACCCCACAGGATCTCATACCTGCCAGACACACCTGAGCCTATTTATTGACTTTTACTGTTTATAGTACTTTATCTAGTCACAGATCTGACTGTGTTCATCTCCCATCCCAAAGAGGTCATACCTGCAAAACTACTGTACAGATTTGTGTTCATCTCTCACTATGCTCACTCCAAAGAGCCTGCCCAGTGATAGGCACCCATGAAACACAGATCTTCCCCGTCTCCTAAAGTCTAAGACACACACTACCCCTCAGCCTTTTGGGGAGCATATCTCAACCATCTGGATGAATTTGAAAGGCAGGTTTTTAAAGCCTTTCACACCGATGAAAAAGGGGGTTCTGCTGTGTATGTGAGTCGCACTCATTTAAAAACTGCACCTCAGTTGCAGCCCTGGGGTCTCTACCTAGTCCAGGCTTTGAAGCTGCGGGGGGGTGGGGGGGAAAGAGAACGTGAAGAATAAACCTGCCAAGTTAGAAACTGAAAACGTGACATGGGAGAACCCCTTATTGGGAATTGTAACCATCTCTCACTCTCCCCCTGGTGGTGATGAATTTTGAGGTGGCAAATTTGGTAAGAGATTTGAAATCTCCCTTGCCACCTTTTTAGAAATCTCAGCTCATTCAATTTATCCCTCACTCACAACACAGCCTGATACACACACACTCTGTGTCCAAGGGGGAGAAAGGAGCGGAGCCAGGCCATTGTCCTTATCTCTCGGAACAAGTACGGATTCCTCTATTACTCTCGCCCTTCCTGAGCGTCTCTCTCCAGCAGCCCCACACAGCGAATACTACCCTCCCTGAGCCTGAAGGGCTATGGCTGCGATTGCTGCCTCACGGTGGTGGGGAAGGTGTGTGTGTGTGGGGGGGGGGGGGGGGAGATCCCCAGTTGCCAATGACAGGATCTCTCTCTCTCTGCACCAAAGACAGAGGCTCCTTCCCCGCCTCCCACCTGCAGCAGCAGCAGCAGCAGCGACAGTCGGCGGACGGGCACAGCTCTGCCCGCAGCCGGGGCTGCCTGCAGCACTCACCTCCCTGCGCCGGGCTGCCGGCTCCTGCGTCCCCCCACTGCCGGCTGCAGCCTCGCTCTGCGCGATCCCTTCCCCCGCCTGGGCCGCTCGTGCGAGCAGGGGGAGGGCGGCGGCGGCGGCGGCAGGAGGGACCTAATCGGAGGGCTGTTTACTAGCCCGCTCTCGCGAGAGCTCAGGGCACCAGCCGGGAGGGGAGCGATGGGCTGAGGGGGGGGCTGTGACATCTCCTTTCAGGCGGGAGGCCCCCGTGTGCCCCCAGCGCCCCTCCGCAGGCAGCGGGGCCAGCTCCTCCCCGCCACCGCCCCGGCCCCGCGCCTGGAAGCGGGGGCCGGCTACAAAGTGCCCCCAGCGCTCGGCCACGCAGCGTCCGCGGGACAGTGCCCGGGGGCGGGTCGCGGGTCTCCGGTCGGACAAACTAGCGCCCCGCGGCAGCCCCGCTGAAAGTCACTGTGCGCCAGCCAGCCAGCCAGCGCCTCCGCTGGGGTCATTCAGCCTGGCGCTCCCTTGCCCTCCACGGGGCCACGCCGGTTTACACGCGCTGGGCAGCGTCCCCCACCCCCCACTCCTTTTAAACTCACCCCCCTCCCCCAGCCTCGTAGTAGCCGCTCTTCTCCGTGGGGCAGTTAGGGGGGCGTCACGGGCTGGCAAAGGTAGAGAGATCTCAACCTCGGGAGGGAGGTGTCAATAGTGGGGTTCTTTAATTAACATTATGCACACATTACACAATTGTACATTTTTTTAGTGGACCAAATTGTGTGGGGGCGTACAAGCCCTTTACGTTCATTGGGGTCCTGTACACATTAGTGCTCATGGATGAGGATGTATTTAAGTGCCCCACTGAAAGTGTCAACTGTGTTCGTTTATTTTTATCTCATTGTTATTAATGTAGCTAGGCATACTACAAGGTATTTTTCCTGCCCCATAGATTCTACAGTTCAAGCTGATGTGCATGGACAGAGCCATGTATTCAATCATCAGGCGGTCTCTGCCTAGACACAGGGTCCATCTGTGTGAATCAACATTCAGAAATGTTGTATTTGGTCCATCTGACATGACAAAAGCCTGAAAAAAAAAATCATTGCATTTTGATCTGGATATGTTTCTGGAGAGGACTGGAAATGGAGAAGCTGCGCTTTCTGATTTTCAGCAGAGAATGACACCACTCTATCGAGTTGTGGTAGATGAGTAGATATGAAATTTCAGAATTAGCAAGGGAGAAAAATGCTCTCTCTTCAAAAATAAGCAAATACAAAATAGAAGGCTAGTAGATCTGGAGTAGCAGTACTTTCCCAGAGCAGTCCGCTGGGGGCAAAAGTCTTTTTACATCTCTACAAATGATGACAAGAAACAGGAGAGACTAGAAAACACCCCTTTTAGAAAAAAAAATAGTGGATATGGCTATCTATTGTGATCAACTTCCTCTGCTTGTCTGGAAGTTTGGATTTCACTCCCTTGTTCTTTAGCTGCTAAACCCCTTTAATGTCATCACCTAAACAAAGTTGGGGTTAGCATAAAAGATGAGCACCAGCTGAGACAATGAAAGTTGAAGGAATATTCACAGCATGATGTTACAGTTCCTGACTTGCTGCTACTGCTGTTCCATTGGGTCCTGCGAGCACAGCAGATGGCAAACACTGAACAGTTGTTTTACCAGTGGAAAATTACTGAGTTTTAGGAGGAGGGTGGTGAGGCCTTTTTTAATTAGGAGGAGGGGAAAAAAAATAAAAAAAAGCTGCTAGTCCCTTGCATCACATGTCCATACTCACAAAAGTGAGTAACGTCTAAGTGGTCCCTATCTCAGTTTAGAAAAGCAAAAGTGATGCACTATTTGTTACTTAAAATACATAATGAACAAGCTTTGATTAATTTTAGTTCTCATTAAAAAAGAAATGTATTTTAAACAAACTTCTGAATCCAACATCAGCCTGACTTGGACAAAGAAATTACTTTTTTCAATTTTCCTACTTTTACCAGCCTTTCAAAACAGTTATGTTACACAATTTTCCATTGCAACTCTGGCATGCTTTGTTTTTACTTTGGAATTTCACATTTGCATAAGTGCACCCCTAGAAGTCCTAGGACCTGATCCTGCACTGGGATTGACTCAACTCCAATTAACTTAAATGGGACTTCTAACACAAGTAAAATTAAGCATGTGGGTATTTGCAGGATCCAAGCCATACAGCAAGCAAGAAAAAGTATGTTAAAACTCACAAATGCACCACAATGAACCATATAGGAGTCTGTCCTGCAAAATCTTAATGACAGTAGGCCCTACTCACATAAATAGACTGTGCAAATTTACAAAGGAGCATATGTGGTTATGCCTCATACCCAGTGTCTCACAATTGAATGTTAATACATATCTTGGGCCTGTTCTTGCAAACTCTTAAGAAAATGGGTAAGTTTACTCACATGAGTAGTCCCAATAACTTGACATTACTACTCATGTGAGTAAATTTATTCACGCAAATGTTTGCAGGATCACTCCCCTTATTTAGCCAAATAAACCACAAGCTTTTAGGAAGATGTACTTCTTGTCCCACCTTCTGATCTGAACCTGAATATATTATTTAATGTATATCTTTAGATTATCACCTTTAAAATATATTGTATATTTTTGTTATCATTCTATTTCTCTAGATGCCTTTAGCAGACACTTGAAAGACAGTCCAACTGAGATCAGCAAGTAACCCACAACAAAAATTATATTATAAATGCACAGTTCTGACCTCTTATGTCCCACAGTTTGTACTTTCCTGAGAGCACAAAAAAATTTTTGTTGTATTAATTAAATATAGATACAAGAAAGCCATTCTTGTTCATATACACATAGCCTAGGGAACAAAATTAAATCATTCATCTAAACAAAATATCAAGGAAATTACTTTAGTCACCTTTCAAAGTGTCACTGTATATCCTGTCCTGGATGTCTTAGCAATTCACAACAAACCTTCTAAAAAATATAATAAAATAAGATCAATGTTTTGCCAGTTTTAGAAGCAATCCAAAAATGACATTTTTCCTTTGTAAGTGGAGGGAAATGCCTCATTAGATGATTGCTGACTTGGCTTCCACTTCTGCAATAGGATTCAAGGGAACATGACGTTGTTCCTGGCACAGGTACATCACATTTCTCATGCTGGAGTTTAAGATGTGACAAATGTGTTTCTTTTTATAAGTGATTACAACTTTTATATACTGAAGTTTACTTAAACATCTTCTCTTAGAATATTATTCTTCCTGAGTTCTCTTTGGATAAGATCCTTTTTGATGATTTATTTAGTGCATGATCTTGTCCTTAAACTAAGATACATATGGATTATGGTACAGAACATGTTACAAAAACAACTACATTATTGTAATGTAATCTTAAGAAGCTCACAGTTCCTCAGGAAATACAGTCAGCATGTGTCTCTTAAAATACTGGAGTTGGGGGAAGAGAGACTTGATTTGGACTCTCAAGTAGACATTGGTGGAATGATGAAAATCTGTATTCAGAAAGAATTTCTTTAATTAAAAAAAACAACATTCTTTAGATAAGAAATATTATTCGTAATGAATACCGTTATTCTTTCAGGGCTCTATGCAGCACTGTCCCTATTCACATGTCCGCACTTGTTGCCTCTTTCTTCACCTCTGCCAACTTCTCCTTCCTTAGCACACTCTACATCTTATTAGCTCCATGTTTTTTCCATGTCACCCTCTGCACATGGAACAGCATCCATAAACCGCAAGGAACCTCACTCTTTCCCTTACTAAAAAAAAAAAAAATCACTGCTTTTAGCTTGCCTTCCACCTGCAGCCATCTACATGACTTCATGCTCCCAAAATAAAATAAATTTAAAAAAGGGAACAAGATCTATGCAAAGAGTAAATAAACCAAATGATGCAACTTTCTGTTATATCCTGTTCCCTGCTCCTCTAATATGCCTATTTTAGTTCCTGAAACCCTTACTCACATGAGTTATCCACTGAAGACAGTGGCCCCTATGTTGTTGCTTGAAAGGGGTCTCCACAGCACCACATCTCCCGCTCCAAAACCTACAGAAGCCTCTCCCAAAGGTCCATGAGCCACTTGAAGGAGGAATGGAGATGAGGCTGGCCAGTGGGGATGAGTATCCATGGCCAAGGAGAGAATATACATTATCCCACTCCTGGGGCCACGGAAAATTAGTCAAAAAAAGATAATACAGCCTCAGGCTGTGACACCTTTACTAAGGAGACTTACCACTTCCTCCCACACACAGATATCCCAGAGACAGCTGGGATGGCTTCAGTGGAGCTACGCTGCAAGGGAGCTGGTGTGAGGAGACTAGAATTAGTGCCAATGGATGGGTCATCCATGCAGAGATCCCTAGCATGCCATGAATCCCAGGGAGCTGACAGTTCTAGGGGCAGGCCCATGCCCATTTCCATAATGAAACAGACAACACAACTATGTGGAGGTGGGGAGGGATCACCGCAGTGGCTATTTCCTGCACTGGGTGGATTCATCCTAATGCAGCAGTGCCAACCCCAAGAGTTCAAACATCATGAGTCAGAATCCCCATTAAAAAAAAAAAAAAGAGTAGAAGAAGAAATCATGGTTTCTGGTCAGTGGGGATCGATGTAAGTTATGCAATGTCAGCTACGTGAATAACATACTTAGTTTAGGTTTCAGAGTAACAGCCGTGTTAGTCTGTATTTGCAAAAAGAAAAGGAGTACTTGTGGTACCTTTAAAGACTAACAAATTTAATGGAGTGTAAGCTTTCGTGAGCTACAGCTCACTTCATCGGATGCATACCGTGGAAACTGCAGCAGACTTTATATACACACAGAGAATATGAAACAATACCTCCTCCCACCCCACTGTCCTGCTGGTAATAGCTTATCTAAAGTGATCATCAAGTTGGGCCATTTCCAGCACAAACTCAGGTTTTCTCACCCTCCACCCCTAGTTTTTAAACTTCCGCTGCCCATCCATAATGTGGGAGCGACAATTACAGGTTGAAAATTCAACTGTAGATTCAGACAAAATGTATACACAAACAAACAGGTCTTGGCTTTCCTGTACGCTTGCTCCACAATCTCCCCCCTCCCACCACACACACACACACACACACACTTTCTTCCACCCAGCTCCCCAGAGCCCTCCTTTCTACCTT